TGGAGGAATCGTGCAGGAACAACTTCTCCTTCCTTGGCTTCTTCTTCCGGTACCGCTTTCCATGCAGCGTTCTCGATCCAAACCTGCAGAGCCGCATCCTTGGCATTGTCAAACTCCTTACGCTGCTCAGGAGTCAACTTCTTCTCATTGAAGTGCTCAGCCAACAACATCTCATCATCATCAAGCGGCTCGAGAGTGTCCATATAGCGGTGGAATACCGGATCAGTAGCCTGCACGGGAGGTAGGCCATCCAACTGCCGAGAAAGGTTGTAGGAACTCAAAGCCACAGACCTCTCATCCCGATTTTGTGGACTCCGTGATCTTCCTCGTGCTGGCTGCAAGGGTCTGCTGCTCGTCTCCTCCGTCATCTTCTCTGCCTTGGAGGGCCTTGGGTCCTCGTTCTGAGCCGATGGCTCTCTCTTTTGACGGCTCCCAGAAGTGTCCATCGGTTCCGGAGTGGCTTGTGCTGGTGCTTCTGCAGCGGCGTGTGGTTCGTGTGCGTGCTGGTGCTGTCGTTCATGTGGCTGCAGCTGCTGTGTTTCTGCTTCTGCTGTCTCCGGACCTTCTTCCTCCCTTGCATCATGATTCTCCATACTCTCTCTGGCCATATCATCGGGAGGGTGCTCAGCGTTCTGTTCCTCGGCCTGTTGTCCATCAGGTGGTTCATCAACTCGTTCATCTTGCTCTTGCCCGTTTGCGTCAGCAAAAGGTGGGTCCCCCAGGAGGTCCAAAAATCGGATCGGGCCTCGCACCGGTTGGAGAGCTTGGCGAACGGTAGCCTGAACATCAGCAACTCGGGCGGTTTGAGGAAATTGTTCAAGGCGAGATTGCCGTTCGCGAGGGGCTTCAGGGCGAAGGCATTCAGGAGACACTCGGACGAGCGATGAACCATGAGCCAACCAGTAGACGGAAGGAGCCGGCAACGAATCACTGCCATCTCGAGGCGTCATGGAGCACACCAAAGCCGGACCTCGCCAGCGACTGATCTCCAGCTTACTATCCGTACTCCTCCAGTAGTATACCCAATCTCCGGGGTAGTAGGTCTCCAACTCACCTCGACTCTTGCTCAGCAGGGCTTTCCGAAGCGTCTGACTGTGGTTGGCGGAATAGAAAGCTCGGGCTGCATTGAGACGTAGCGAAACCAGAGCTTGATGGTCCTTGGAGGGATCAGCCAGATTTGTGCAAGGCTCATCCATGAGGCCCTTGTCCATTGCCGTCTTGCCAAAGACTATCTGAGCAGGTGCAGTCCCATGAACAGATCGCAGTTGATTCCTCAGTGAACACGCCACGGGCACTGCAGTCTCCAGCTGGATGTTGGCGTCTTCCTGCTTCATCTTGAGAAGTTGGAGGCGACGAACTGCATGTAGTCTCTCTACTGTTCCCATGCGATGGTGGGCTTCCTTCGGTACCAACACGAGTTTGATTCCTCTGTCGTCCATGTACTGAAGGAACTGCTCGCTCATGTGGGCTCCAGAGGCGTCAGCTCGAATCTTTGAAGGACATCCAAAGGCATTGATCCACTGATCTAGAATTCCGAGCTCCTCTTTCTCCGTCTCTGAGGCCACTACGGCATTCATCTCATAACGAGAGTAGATGTCGATGATTGCCAAGATCCTCCTCTTCTCATCGTTCCACTTAATGTGAAAGACATCCATCTCCAGCAGCTCATTGAAGCTTGATGCCTGAGGCAAGGATGCTGGTTTTGCCGTCTTCTTGTTCGTGAAGTTCTGGCAGACACCACACTTGTAGGCCTTTGCGACCTTCACCAGCTCTTCTCCAAGTTCTGCGTCTCGAACAGCCACCACCAAGCGATCTCTACCTGGGTGTCCGAGTTGTCGATGTAGCTTGTCTATCACTTGCCAAGCCTTCTTGGGATGAGTTTCTGGCTTCTCATCACCTTTCACCTGGTTCTTCGTCATCTCTTCAGTCACCATCACTTCCGTAGCCATGATCTTCGCAATCTCCTTCTTTCGCCAGGACTCATCCATGCATTCATAAATGGCTTTGGCCGCTCTTTTCACAAAACCTTCTTCATAGTTCTGCATACCTCGAAGCTGCTTGGTCTTTCCTTCCATCTGGACATGATGTACCTGGCATTCACAAGGAAGGTGCATCGCTTCTGCCACCTTGATTGAGCTCGTGCGTATGCGTGTCTGCTTCCTCACCGGGCCATGGTCATGTCCATCATCCACTCGCAGTCCAGTGCGACACCTGTCACACACAGCTTCGTAGTATCCCTTCATGGACTTCATTGTTTCTGTCTTCCATGAATCAGCTCCGTGAGGATGCTCGCATGCATAGTTGTTGCCATTCTCCTTTGTCACTGCAGCCGTGTCCTTCACCAAGGCTAAATGTGTCTGCTCCTCCTTCAACCGATCATCTTGCAGCTTGTCCTTTTGGGCTCTTGAACGAAGGTTCAACCTTTGCATGGCAGACCATTTGCGACATGGTGGAGCCAGCCATACGAAGTCTGGGCTGACTTCTCTGAGCAGATTGATGAACTCTTTTCTGACCTCATCTTCACTCAAATCCCACTCTGGAAGTGAGAAGCCTGACACCTCGACATCCTCATACTGATTGGCGAGGTGGACGGACAGGTTTCCTTCATCCACATAGACCTCGAAGAAACGCAAGATCCGCTTCTCTCTCAATCTGCGAACAGCTTGCTCTGCAATGCTTTCCACTTCAAAGATCTCATGGCATTCACCTTCTGTCGTGGCGGTGAACTCCATGGCGGGCTCAATGTCCCACACATCCAGGGGACCTCCATCAATCAGCTGTGTCTCGGTGAAGACTCCACAGCTGTTCTCAGCCTCCTCGAACTGGTAGTAGGTCTCTTCCTGGATCGGCTTCTTGTGGTACATCATCAGATCAAGCAGAAAATGACCACGATCATTTCGTTCTGGCTTGAACCATGGGGACTCTCCAATCTTCATTGCACCATTCTTGTAATCATGCACCACTCCCCACTCTTCCAACACTGGCCGTGCCAACAAGAATGGAGTGGATCCAGGAACCACTGAGGCTGTGATGTCGAGGGCTTGTCCATGCACCCAAGCCGTGAACTTCACCTCGTAAGTTGAAACCAACGTTTCTCCACCACCGAACTTGAACTGCCGGGTCACCTGGTTCACCTCCACTGGCTTCAGGTTGATGGAGTCATACTTCTCCAGCCACAGGTGCCAATTGTTCTCACCCACGATCGTCCTGGTGGCACCGCTATCGACAATGGCCTTGCCAACCTCAGTCGAAGCGAAGAAGCATTGCTCCATACTGCTGTCCAACCATTCCAAATCCATTTTCTCCTCAACCATCATCTCTTCCACCATAGTCACCTCCTCAGGGACTTCTTTCACTCCTTGGGCTTGGCTTCTGTAGCGCTTGAAGCGAGGGCCATGCTGTTGCGTCGATCCAGAGAATGTTGACTTCTCGGAAGATGCGGTGGTTGTAGACGTCATAGGTCCCTTTCGCAATCCCGACATTGGTCTTCGATTGAACGGTGCTCTGCGAAGAAATCCACCGCCCTTTCCTTTTCCTTTACTCTTGCCCTTGGAGTTTCCATTCTTTCCCTTTCCTTTTCCTTTTCCATCACCTTTGAAACTCCTGTAGGCTCCCTTCTCCGCCTCCGGACCAAGCGCAACCACAGGGTAGAAGCCACGGGCCAACGCTAACTCCTTCATGCGTTTCCGACTCTCCACATAACTGACGTAGGCTTCATCTGCATGGTCCATAGCCTCCTCCAATTCCTCGGGGATGTCATCGTCGTTGTCATACTCCCCAACCTCGAAGGCCTCTTCATCATCATACCAATCATCAACCCAGTCCTCGGCCTCTTCATACCAAATCTCGCCCTCCTCCTCGTAGTAGGTTTCTTCCTTGGCACTGGGGTTTGACTGTCGACCGAGATCTCGCGAGCTTGGCTTGTGGTCACCGCCAAACATGCGAATCAAGGCCTTGCTCACCTTGTCATAGTCCAAGTCCCCTCCACACATGGCCTTGATTTGAACGTGCGTCCAACGAGGAACTCCGGCTCGGGTCAGCAGGTGCCATCCGGAAAGAAGGGTGGGCACTTCCACGTTCACTTCCTTCATCCGCTTCAGAAGGGTCTTGTGGCGAATGAGGTATGCTTGAAGTTCTTCGCCTTTGTTCCTTTGGAATTCACTGAAGAATTCATCACACCTCGAGGGAACTTCGATGAGGTCCTCGTACTGATACAGTTCATCGAGCAGGCGAAACACCAGTTGGAAGGGTGCTCCCGATCTCTCCACCTCATCGAAACTCAACTGCTCCGTTGCATCCCATGCCACATCACGTAGCTTGCTGATCACCAGAAAAGCTCCCTCGATGGAAGTCTCACGTCCACGGCGATCACATTGTCGTTGAAATAGTTCCAGCCTCCTTCTGAAGCTTCTATAGGTCTTTTGGGACAGACCTTCCGATGATGGGCATGCCTTAGCTAATCCCGAGTCCAGGCCACTGCGCTGCGGGACATGTGGTAGTTGGAGGGCTTCATCTCCAGTCCTCTCGACATTGGCGAACAGGCCACCTCCGGTCGCCAGGGGTGCTTGTGCACCGGGGGCTGATGTCCTCGCCCTCCGGACAGGTGTCCTTCTAGGGCTTCCCCGCTCTGCCCCTGACATAGGGTGAAGATCAGATTCTCAACCGTCAGGAGGAAAACGAAGGTGATCGAAATCAGGTAGGTCACCGAGGACAAAGTCAGCCTGGAGCGTGCCGAGCTCCGCTACCAATCTCAATGAAGTAGATCAAGGCACACGAAGTCCAAGTCACTCGAACGCGGATGTTTTCGATGGGGCGTGCCGTTTGCTGAACTCAAGGGCCCTATTGGCCGCGGAAGGAAAAAACATGTCATGAAATGCGGACATCAAGTGGTGTGCAACCGCAAACACTCAGAAGTCCAATATACATAGGATGTTCGCTCAAGCATGGCTTCCCCACAAAGCAACTACCTGGTGGAAGACGCAGAGCATTCAAGAAGACAGGGACTCCTGATCGCGTCATTCGACCAGGACGGGTGAACGGTATGGGGTGGTGTGCGGAGATCCTGGTTCCTGAAAAGGCGAAGCGAGGGCTGGGCGGTTCGGAAAGCTGTCCACCCAACTCAGACATGCCCAAGACAACTTTACTTCTGGACGTCCAGGGTTCTCTGACACGCAAGCTATGCCGGAGACATCAACTCCAGCAGTTTTGCGCATCAATGTCGAAAGGTGGAAGGCATCAATCTCTGGAAGAATGAGTTGTGCCTCCTTTCTTTTTTTGCAGGCTGAAACCATCGTACACCTGAGGCATCCTTCTGGCGGTTCATTGAGGTTCCTCCAAACCAACCCTTCATTCGCAGTTTTTGGTGCCAGGAAGAGCTGCGGAAGGCGATGAGACCTGTTTCAATTGGGAGGAGACGCCTTTTGAGGAGGTGTATCTTAGGGTTCATCCCTTAGGGTTCGGCAATGGTTTGGACAGCGCTTTTGACACTCAACATGTAAGGTAAATCTTGACAACATCTTAGTCGTAAGCTTTGAAAATGGAGGGGTATTTATTTTTGGATTTTTTTTTGTTTCTTTTTTGGATTTTTTGGTTTTTCCTGGCTTCTGGCTTCTGGCTTCTGTGGCTTCTGGCTTTTGTGGCTTTTGGCTTCTGTGGCTTCTGGCTTTTGTGGCTTTTGGCTTTCGTGGCTTCTGTGGCTTTTGGCTTTTGTGGCTTTTGGCTTTTTGGCCTATCCATCTATCTGTCTATACCTATCTATTTCTCTATCTATCTATCTTTCTTTCTTTCTTTTGGCAGCTGTTCTCCTTTCTCTTTTTGTATTTGCTTTTCCTGTTGCAGAGACGAAACCAAACAAGGAAGCAAGGAAGCAAGCAAGCAAGCAAGCAAGCACGAGCTGCTCACCTTTGGATCTGGTGTGCTGCTGGGGGGGGCGCTGCGCCCCCCCCAACCCCCCCCGCGCCACGAAATCTGCACTTCATCCCCGACACCCGCGCCTGCCACGAAATCAATATTTTAAGGTGAACTCCCCGGTGCAAAACTTTCTAACCAAGCAAATATGCCTCCTCTATCTATCTATCTATCTAATCTAATCTAATCTAATCTAATCTAATCTAATCTAATCTAATCTAATCTAATCTAATCTAATCTATCAATTTATCTTTCTATCTTTCTATCTTTCTGCAGTTCAACATCCACAAAGTACTGCACCTGCCACGAAATCTGCACTTCAAGGTCCACAAAGTCTTGCGCCTGCCACGAAATCTGCACTCCAAGGCCCACAAAGTCCTGCACCTGCCACCAACTCTACACTTCCACACCCACAAAGTCCTGCATCTGCCACGAAATCTGCACTTCAAGGTCCACAAAGTCCTGCGCCTGCCACAAAATCTGCACTCCAAGGGCCACAAAGTACTACACCTGCCACGAAATCTGCACTTCAAGGCCCGCAAAAAGTCCTGCGCCTGCCACAAACTCTGCACTCCAAGGCCTACAAAGTCCTGCACCTGCCACGAAATGTGCTTTGCAAGGTCCACAAAGTACTGCACCTGCCACGAAACACGAAAAACAAAAAAATCAAAAAAAAAACGAAAAAACATCCAGAAATATATTCGCAACCTTTGAAAATGCAGGCCTCATTGATGTTGTAGAGCTTCGGAGGAAAACACTGGGTTTACTGAATGTGTTCGGGCACTCAAAACAGATTGTACAAAAGCGCAGATCCGTCTAGATGCTGATGTTGGGACCCTGTCACTTCGGCTCCTCTTGTCACTTGTTTAAAATTTAGTGTGAAGACAACAACTTGCACGTCTGAACAAGTGGGACGGACTCCCAGCTGCCAGCCATCCGAGTACATGAGGTTCTGAAACGTGGAAACCCTGCAGGCAGTGCTTCAGATTTGCGCCACTGGGGGTGGTTGGCCCTTGCAACTGCAAGAGCGCTTGCTGCAGCTGTTGCAGACCCCCTGCGAGGCTTGGAAAAACAAGCGAAGGAAGCCAAGTGAAGGAAGCCTCAAAAAGATCAACACCACTATGGTATAGGTTTTGTACTGTTTCGTATGGAGGTATGGAGGGGAACATCTGTAAAAAGGTGCTGAGTGGGTGAAAGAAGCGTGGTTGTTGAAGTGATCCCATGTTGTAAGATTAAAAAACACATTTATCATACCAAAAACATATCCCTTTCAAGGGCCATGATGTTTTCCACCTGGCCAGGCGCGCACATGCTTGTTTGCTCCAAGTCCACTGGCAGTGGAGGCGAAAAAACACTATGATCTTTCGGGTGGTCCTGAAGCAGTTGGATGTATTGTCCTGGTCCTGAAGTGGTTTTTCTCACAACATGCCTGGTATGACCTGGTGACCCCCCCGGCTTGACCGCCTGTATGACCTGGAGTCTCAAAAAGATGACTTGCTCTCAAAGTACTCGGGAGGTTGAAAGAAAACTGGCAATTGCCCAGCTCATGGCAGCTACCCACAGACAGGTTTTGAATCCCAATTGCCTCGGGCAAATAGTATGCAAACATCGTGGATCAAATGATTGCAAGAAAGCATCAAATCAGATCAATGGGCATTCAAGCTTGGCATGGGTACATGCCCTTTTCTTTATATAAAGAGAACCTTATGCTGTTAGTCTCACATCTCGAAGGACTTGCCAGCCAACTACATCAAAAACATCGAAGAGCTTTTCCACTATATATACACATATTTTTGTGTTGTATGTATGTATCTTTTGAAGAGAAGACAAGGAGTGCGTTGGGAAGGACATGTTGTGGAGGAAGTTCCAAAATCTGTGCAGGAACAGAGCATGTGCTCCAGATGATGTACCCGTCCCCCATGTTTTACCAGGAGTTGCAAGCATCGAACTTGAACCTGCCGGGCCTCCACATGGGTCAGGAATGAACACAGCGGCAGGTTCTTTCTGTGGAGAAACTCGACATTCTAGGATCTGTTGAGCACAGCATGACCTTTGCTTTCAAGTCGATTGAGCACAACAAACGGGTGAGCTCAGGGTTCAGGCTTTGGTGCAAAACAATGCAAACGTTCGGGCCTAGGCCTCGAGGTTTTGAGCCGCTGCGAACGTCGAGCTCATGCTGTCCACATTTCATGGGCTTTTCTGCACAAGCGGCTGCAGGTGGATGAAGGGTTCACCTCACCGCGAGCGCTGAGCAGTGGGTGGCTACATCAGGCCGAAAGCTACAGGTGATCAGTTGATTCTGTTTACCAGACAGAGTCCATGGACGTCCATGGGTCATTGTCAAGGTTTTGGCTGGCTGGAAGTCCGAAGGGAGAGAACGACATCATGTCTTGTTAGGAAGGAGATAGGCGCCGTGTTGAACCCAACATCCGGGCGCAGAAAATCATCTACAACACCCATCCGCTGGGGCTCTTTACCGGTCTCTCCCGGGGGGTGTGGGGAGCGGCGTTGCCGCCACGCGAAGGTCTTTCTGGGCATGGGCGCACTCACGCGTTTGCCCATCTTCCGCGTCAGGGATCCCGGTGTCCAGACGTTCTCCGTCTCGGGGAGCAGCGTGAGAGTCAGTACGCTTAGTCGTAGTACTCAAGAGCTTCTTTGTTACTAAGGAGCGATGCACTTGTGACTAGTAGAAATGCCCTTGTTACTGCTGTAGTACTGTAGTATGCCGGAAAAATAAGGTAGTAAGTTAAGTTCCAGAGCCGATGCATTTACATATATAAGCAGCCTTCTGTTTGATGAACCCCCACGTGTCTCATAATGTCGTGTGATTTTGTTTGCAAGGACCCAACCAGAATTTTCCACAAGCCGCATTGAACAGTGGACGAGGTCAAAAGCAGGGGAGTACTCGAAACCACACAGAAAGACCTTGTATCCCACATGGTCAGAAGACTCTGCAAAAGACCAGCTGGGATTCGCAAATCGATGTTTGTCCAATCTGCATTTGTCGCACACCGTTCGATCTTAATACAGTAATTATGCACCCATCCAAAGTTATGGAAAGGGCCCCGTCATTGTGGAACACTGGTTTGGTTTGAATGGTTGGCCAGTTGCAAAGAATGATGAGGAGCATGTCGCAGTGGTCCAGTGCAAGTTAAACTGCCTGTTTGGTGAGGATGCACTGGAACGCCACTGACTTCAGCTGCTGCTACCTATTCCATGGGGCTCCAGATTTGTTGGGACTCAACCATGAATTGTGAACAAGATTCTGCACGTATTGAAGTGTTTCATTGTTTAGATTTTTTTTGTGAGAGTTGTGAATGCAGTGGGCCGTTTTTGTGGCTGCTCCCAAATTCTATGTTCTATGTTGCATTCACGGTGGGTATATACTTGACATCAATATCAATTTGGCTTCCTTTAAGATGGATGCACATGCCTCATTTTGAAGCCTTCAGACCTTATATATTTATCAGGGATGGCAGGTGGAACTTGGGTCGAATGCACTTCCTTCCATACCGGCGTTGGTGTCGGCCGTCCAAAAACCGCTGAGGCACGCGCGGAGCTCTACCGGTCGCAGCCCGCCTCGGTGGGAAGACTTGGAGAGAACCGAGTTGACCTTGAGAGAGCCATTTGACAATGGTGAAGACATGTGAAGACAGTGAAGGGACCACGGCGGCCAGGATTTGCTCCTAGTAGCGAACCTTGTTCCTAGTAGCAAGGCCAGGAGCCCCTAGTAGCGTCCTTGTTCCTAGTAGTACGGCCAGGAGCCCCTAGTAGCTTCTTATTAGTTGTTGGGGAAGGTGGGTGCAAATGAATTCATGCCGGGGGCTTCTGATACAATTGCTTTCTGCTTGGTCCTTGGAAACAATTCGGACATTCGACGCTGGTGCACGCAATGAGTGGTCTCCTCCAATGCCCTTAGGTCCTTTCATCAACAGCGCCCATGCTTCATGCAAGCTCTCAGCAATGGTGATCGCGCTGAGGTTGTGCTCAGCAACTCCTCGATTACCCAGAAGAGGGACTGCCAGAAGACCAAGTGAGAGGTTGCTTCCAAACCCTAAACCTGTTGTTAAAAATGGGTGCCAATGCGCATGTGAGCTGAAATGCTACCCAAAGCCTGGTTGTCATGAAATTACTCATCAGACCACCAGGAACAACAACCTGCATCGGCCTGACAGATGGACTAGGGCTAGGGTATACCAGGGCAGCAATGCGCATGGTAACGAGCGCAGGCTGAGGCAGTCCGACTTGACAATAAGATGCGGAAAGATGAAGTTTGAGTGGCATAGCGCCCAAGCAGCATATTTACACCACTTGAAGTATTCACCCTGATTGAGTGGGAAATTGCATGGCTGCATTGCAGCCGCTGCAGATGTAGAACATTGCTTCCATGCAGTTCATGGGCAGAGTGCTTGGCCATAGCTACTAGACTTGCCCAGAGGGAACATGATGGACACTGAATTAGCAGCCGGTCACAGGTCGCAAAGCCATGGCAGGCACTAGCAGACTGGTTTTTGTTCATGGTTTCTGAAGCGACCAGGCGTACTTGTACTTTGGCCGGCCAAAGAGGCCTAGGCACTGGGCACTGCTGGGTCAATATATGAGCTCACGCCAAGGCTTTGCCTTCCGGGGTGCCAACGCCTCGCTGGCCTTGCGCTTGCGTGGGTGGCTGAGTCGTGAGATGTGGAGTCCATGAAGTGGCAATCTTGCTCCTAGTAGCGTCCAGACATATTCCTAGTAGTAAGGCCAGGAGCCCCGTTCGTAGCGTCTTTGCTCCGTTCGTAGCGATGCCCTTTGCTCCTAGTAGCAAAAAGGAACCTAATAGCGTCCTTGCTCCTAGTAGTAAGGCCAGGAGCCCCTAGTAGCGATGCCCTTTGCTCCTAGTAGCGTCCTCTGGAAATGGCGGAGTCGTGTGAATCGGTGAAGTGACCGAGTGATCGCCCTCATGACGGTATCGGCCGAGGCTCGCCGTCGCGGGTGCAGCAGCTAGTGATCGAACAGGCCCAGACTTGTAGTGAGGGGTTTAGAGACGAATGGAATCTGGAAGATTGAAGGCACGAACTTTTTGTTGCTTCCTAGAGTCTTTTCATGTCTTTTTCTGTGTACCCTTCCAAGAAAGTCCAGTCCACACTGGATCTTTGGTCTTAAGGCTGTTTGCTGAAATCTCAAGTCCAACTGAAGAGGGTCCTCAAAATGTTCCAGCTCTTCCATAGCCAATCTCCGTGCTGCCAGCCCCCACGTTGGGCGGCGCTGCGCCCCACCTCACTGCCCCGACACTTCAGTGTCTTTGGCGCCGGAGAGGCGAAGCAGGGCGAAGCGAGTGTAAGCTATTTAAATTAAATTAATAGCTTCTTGTTACTACTAGTAAGGCACCTGTTACTACTAGCAATTTGGGTTTCCCTTTGGTTCTGAGTCTTTGAACCTCACTTTTGACAGACATGTACCTGAGGATTGATGTGGAGATGATTCTGAACCTTCGTTTCATGCGTCTCAAGTATGTTTTTGCCTCTTACTTGGTCCATTGCGCATCCTCCTTTGAGAGACCTCAGAATTCTGATTTGATGACCTGTCAGTCGAAACTTAGTTTACCTTAGCTCGCTTGTTTCTTGCAAATCTCCTATGAAGATGCTGCTCTGCAGACTTACGCCACTCAGTACTGTTGGCCAAGGAAGTTGGAGCCCCTTACATACTTGACCACCCACAGAGGCTCATCCCTGTTCAACAAGACCTCCCCCATTTCGACATCAGTGCCTGCCAGGTCGCTGGTGTCCAGCAGTGCCCCGGAAATTCGGCCACGAGAACTCGCCGGTTTCGCAAAAGCTCTATTATTCAACGCACTTGTGGGTCAAAAAGAGGACTCCGGATCATGCCGGATGAATTCACTTTCCGTCAGAACAACCAAAATTGAATAACAAAACATCGTCAAAAATCGTTTGTTTTGGCAGAAAGAGGAGACTGAACTTGCAGCAGGTACACTGAAGCCCTGGGAGACTTCACATACTCTTCGGCGGGACCTGCAGTGCAGGCAGGATGGTGAAATTGCCTTGGTAGAGTCCAGTTTCTCAGGTAGGTTAAGGGATGAGAACAAATAACAACTATGTACTCCCGCAAATGGACCCTTCATCGGCTGAAATATGTTATGTTGATTCTTTTGTATTTGGGCGACTTCCACGATCTAGCTTCCTCTATTTTCAACAGCCCTTGAGACGCACCTCACAGAGACTGAGACACAACCCAGAACACAATTTCTATGAAGTTCTTGAAATCGCCGCATCGATGCCGGCAGGAACATCCTGCCTTCAAGGGTCCCTGACCCTTTGCTCTTGGGCCAGGCCTTTGTGCTGGCAAACACCAACGTGCCTTTGACGGGGATCCGGGTGGCTTTTGCAGGTGGGGTTTGTGAGAAGGGACTGGCGGAATCCGAAGGCGAGTAATTACACTTCGTTCTGTTGACTGAGGTGTTGGCCCCAAAGCAATACTTAGTTACAGAGCAATTTGGGATTGCCTCAGAGTCTAGAAGGTCATTTCTGGATTTCACGAGGATCAACACGTTTATTCTATATGGACAGCTTCTTGCAGAACACGGTCTCCGTAAACCATTGACAAGTCAAAGCTGTTCGCTTGTGTAAGGGGATGTGATCACAGCACATTCATTGGGGGCCTTTTTTGGGCCAGGCCGAGTATGCACGTTATGTCAAGGAACATGTGACTGTGCTAGCAGGGGCACTACCAAGCAAGCCACTGCTTGCTGGCTGGCCGGCTGGCTGGCTTGCTCCCTTGCTCCCTTGCTGGCTTGCTGGCTTGCTTGCTTGCTTGCTGGCTGGCTGGCTGGCTGGCTTGCTCCCTTGGCTCCTTGCTGGATCAGTGGCCCATGCCTATATAGTGAACATGTTCCCATTCATCTCATCCAAGCTCATCCCACGCTTGGAAGTCTGGGCACCTGAGAAGATACTGTATATAAAAAGATACTGAGAAGATACATGAGTGTGATATCATTACTATTAATATTAGTAGTTGTTGTCGTCGTCGTGGTGGAGTAGTAGTAGTAGTAGTAGTAGTAGTAGCAGTAGGAGTAGCAGTAGCAGTAGTGGTAGTAGTAGTAGTAGGAGGAGAAGGAGGAGGAGGAGTAGCAGGAGTAGCAGGAGTAGCAGTATAGTAGGAGTAGGAGTAGGAAGAGCAGCAGCAAGCAGTAGCAGTAGGAGTAGGAGTAGAGTAGCAGTAGAAGTAGCCATGGCAGTAGGAGCAGTATGCGGCATGCGTCGTAGTCATCGTCCTTCAAGTTTTTTGTGTAGGTCCAGAATGGGATCACAACTACATTTGCCTCTACCGGATCAAGCTCTTCGAGGTGATTTGATGCATCCCGGGCTGTGCGAATGGTTTGGAATTGCATTGGCAGACAACGCACGATTCTCATAGTCTCATGATGTCAATATATTTCTGCTCTGGTATGCGTGAGTGTCGGTGATGTTCAAAACGATTTCACCATGGGATAGGTCGGATTGAGTCCAATTGTTTCTCTTATCTCTCCTTCGCTTCTATCATATGCTAGGGATTTCCCGATGATGCGAGGGCATGGAGACTGCCTGCAGCGGCGGGCGGCCGGCTTGGAGGTGTGGTGGGGAGGATAGAGGCGCATTCGCAATTTGAGGAGCACCAGTGACACCTACTGTAGGACCCACACTGAGTAGCTAATATATATATATATAATATATTTAATCAAACAATATATCCTGAATCTCCTCAAAATGGATCTACCTTCTCAGAGGCTTGCTCAGAGATGTTTGTCCTTTTCGAGTATCTATCTGCTGCATCCACCTTGACAAGTTTGACACCAAGTCAAGCCTTGCATGTTGTGTGAGGCGTGCAAGTCAGCTTCCTAATGTTGAAGTACAGCAAGTTCAGTTGACTATATAATGCTCCCGTCCAGAATTCCCAACCTGCATCGGCCGCAAAACTGTCCTGGTGCTCAGGCTGCAAGACAATTCAAGCTGATTTGAGCAATTAATTGCGCTGCATGTCCCATCTCCATGTCCCATTGGTTGAGAGAGCATTCAAGAGATAAAAGGGACTAGCAAGTTGGAGCCAACAGTTCTTTGCATTTTGTTGTTTTTCACTTGGCCTCCACGCAATTCATCACTCCCAGATCTGAAAAGACTGAATTGGACGGATTTGGGATGCTTAATTCTCAGTGCGCACGTAGGTCCAAGGCTCGATACGTCGGGCAATGATTGTTTATGCCAAACGTGGTCCAGCACATCTAGATGCCAAAACGCATGATTGCACGTTGCAATCTAGGGTACTTTGCAAACCTCACCTCATGTCATCATAGACGTCTTGACCTTTATTCACAGAAAGTTTTTTGGTGAAGAAACAGCTCTAGACTAGCCCCTTCCAGGCAAGCAGTTTCCTTGAATGGTTTGGGCCATAGCCATTCTACGCCAGGGGGGTTCAGAATGAACATGGGTGACCCTCAAGTTTTGCGGTATGAACATGGCGAATGGTCAACCCACACTGCAAACTGATGGCTTGGAGGTCGACCCCATACTGCAAAGAGGAAGAAAGATATTGGACCACACCCGAGACATGCCATTACTGTGCAGTTCTCATCGGCGAACATCCAGTGCTGGGTTTCTCCAGAATGATACATCTTCGCAAGCATTTGACGTGGTTGGAATGTCATGCGAAATCAGAGTTGTTGCAGTGCTTCAGTTCCACCAGTTCAGGCAGACAAGTGATGGCCTCCTTTGGATTCGTCACTGGTCGCAGACCGAGTGAACTTCTGCCGCGTTGCGGCTGCTGGGGGTCTGGGCGGTCGCATTGATGAGGGAGGCGGAAAAAGCTGCGAGCATTGGTGGACAGTACCTCGTCAGGAGACCCCCTATGGGCTGGTACACTCCGGACTCACTGACATGGAAGTGGACAATGTTCAATGGCCCCTGAAAAGATCATGGGCTCACTAGAAACAGAAACATGGGCTGTGGAAGTGATCCATGAGTCGTATATCAATGATGTGGACTGTTCAATGAATCATTCACTAGAAACATGGGCTTTCCGCCTCCATTGGGCCCCGAACCGTTGGCAGTTCTTGCAATGGACATTGCAGCGATTGCATCGTTGATACAATTGCTATGGACATCGGCGTGGATCAATCATTGAAAGTTATTGCCCATTGCATGCCACTGAGATGGAACAAAATCCAACATCAAACTGATACAGCCAACATCAACAACTCTGGGACCTTGCCCACAAAGTTTTCAGGCCTAGCACCAGAAGTGCCTTCATCCGGACCAACTGAAGCAGTTTGAAGAACACATCAACAAATCACTCAAGAAGTTTTTGCAGTGACTGTGTCCAAACAATTCGGTTGGCCGACTTGCCGCGTCCCATTTGCTTGGCCGGCTGCAAGCTCAGTAATTGGTAACTTGAATTAGGGCTGTTCTGCTGTTCTACAGTCCAAAAAGCACGGGTGGCTTGTCCGAGTGTATTTCTTCTCGCTCGTGTTTGCCGCCGAATCAATCTCAGGTCGCCATGCCAATCAATCTCGAAGAGCTTGAAACCGCTATTCAGGAAGCTCTAGCAGCCAAGGCACGTGGCACGCTTTAGCTATTGTGCTTTGCGGGGCCGGCGGATTGAAGCAAGATGGGTATACCTAGCCCATGGCGGCTGAAGCCATTTGAGACAGTGGCTTGATCCATTCAGAGCTCAATGCTTCATGTTGAGCATTTAAACTGGTTCCTGAATGATCCTTAAGATAAGTAGTTTCTGAGGAGTTGTGTTTTGTGCTCATCTTGAGGATCCCTTTGATGCGTGCAAGTGTGTTTCTTTCGTTCAAACATCAACTGCGTCACATTTGCTACACGATAAATTTCAATGTGTTTCACTTGGTAGCAAAGCACGTCAGGACAGTCACCAAAGTACTGTGTGCTTATCGGAGGTGGCCGACTCAGAGATGGAACCATGTGACTCCTGCATGTTGTCACTTCGTTGGTTCCTACCTAACATGGCAGTGTAACCACCTGGTAGTGCAAGATCGTTGCCCTCAGTTGCTACAGACGGGGGCACGTGAGCTTTTTGTGGTGGATGCTTTTGTTGAGATGCGCAGTTTCTGACCGGAGCAACCTCCAACCGGAACCACCGGAACCACTGGGGTTGCCAAGCGATGAGGTCCCTCCGAGTCATGCCGCCTCAGGTGATTGAGACGCTTCAAAGTCCCTCCGACTTGGCAGAGCCGCGGCCTTTGAGCCTGCAGCGGCTCTTTTGGAACACCTCAGTCAGACTGTACCCATGTTATGGCCCCGTATGGCCTCTTAATTGCTTTTACATCTGTCAAGAAGCATGTCTTTATGCCACCTGGATGAGTCTGGGTGTGTTTGGAAGCAGATTTCGAGGTTTGTTTGCAGCCAACTGGCACCGTCAAAGATTAAAGTTCCACTATATAGTCACTATTCCTGAGGTCCTTTGCATTTGTTGTTTTCCCACACATGACATTTCCGTCAACGTCATCGTCAGATTGGATGATGGGACCCCAGCTGAGGTCGTTCTGGCCTGGCCACTCACCCAAACATGGCCCGAGCGCTCGGATGGGATCTGGAAGGATCTTCGATGGAATTCGGGCGCGTGGCCCGAGAGTCCCCCTGCCACCCAAAGTCGTACAAAAGATATCAACAAATGATACTGTAGAACATGCTGCAGACGCTGCAGCGTTTTTTTGGGGGTCAGAGAAGAGCCACTTCAATCACCCCCGGCCCCCTAGTCGAGGCCCAGCCAGAGACTACTCGAGGGTGACCGAAGCCTTCGATCAACTGGTCAAGAAGGCCGGGCAATGAGTTCTTTTTTGGGTAAGTCTTACTCAGGGAGAAAAATCGACTGCACTGCCAAGAGCTTCGGAGGGTGTCCAGCCCGAGATTTGGGGGAACCCCCAGACGGCCACTGGTCCATTGGTGGTTTCTGAAGCACCGACGAGAATGCACGAGAATCCATTGGTGCATATTGACCAACACAAAAATGCGCATAGCAACGCTGTGCAAAAGCGCAGATGGTGTGGATGTTTCACCATGGTAATTTCTCTTCAGCATGTCGTTGGTCTATTGCGCCAGGGCAGTTGTCGATGGTCCTCCGAGTTAGCTGATCTCGTTCGTGGTGCTGCTGTGACTTGGGCATATCTTGTTTCTTGACGTGTATTTCTCACACGAAAGAATATGAAAGGGTGGTGTGGTATCGGAGAGATAGCATACCAGCTGGTGTGATGGAAGTTCAAAGAACCTGTTTGCTTGGACAATCTTGGAAACACTTTGCAGGGAATGAGACATAGCCTTGCCAGGCATGGGCGATGCCTGCCTTGCCTAGGTGCCGATGTTGGAGTAAGCCGTAAGCTCTTGTGCTTGATCCCTCAAAGAGCAAACGGCTTTTTCGAGGACTTTCAATGGTAAAAAGAAACTGCTGTTGAGGCTCTCAGATGCAGGTTGTAGGTTGCGGCTTGTAATTGTATTGCTCTCGCACATTCCGATCGCTTGTATTGTATTGCGGCTGAGTTCGTCCGCTGACGCAGGCGCCCCTTTGCACACTCCGATTTCAGTGACCGCTCAGAGACAGTCAATGCACCTTTCGAGGCCGGGGGAACGGAGGTTTCCAAAATCCTTTGGAATCTGTGAGGTTACGAACCGCTCCACTAAAACGGACTGAGTCAATTTGACAGAGTGCATAAAAGCTTGGAAAAGACTCAAGCCGCTTGACTCGCTTGACCTTGTTCTGTGGAAGAAGAGGTTGGTTGTATGTCGAGAACTACGCAAGCAATGGGGACTTGGGGAACATTTTGTGTGTACGACATCAAGAAAGGTTCCTGTTGGACTGTCGAAGCTAAGTTTGAGGACATGCCAAGTGGATGGCATCAGATTGTGCTTCACTGTTCCACCTTTTGCTCATGTTCTGGACACATTGCATTGGTGTCAGTTTGAGTTTTCAAGTTTGCTGGTGATGTGCCTCGCGCAAGCGCCTTTGCATTATTTCATGGTAGGTACAGGAGTGCGATTTAGACCTGCTGGACGTTTCAGGACAGTCCAAGCAATTCAATTTCGCTGTCCAAATTGGTTTGGGTCTAGATTTATCATGACAAGCGTCAAGCAACCAAAGTCATAGAGCCAGATTGATAGCCTCGCCAAAGTGTTTCTTGTCTTCGAAGGGGCCATGTCTCAATACCTGATCTGTGCCGCTGGCGCAGAACCTGATAAAGCATCTTCGCCGGCAACTGGAAGTACAGAGGTGCGCTGCGCTCGCTGCGCTGCCGTGTCATCGAATGTTGCAGAGAATCAGATACACACGCGCATGAACCATCCAGAGGCATCTTAATGACCTTCGCGATGTGCACCAACTTCTTGAGACACTTCGACGGCCATCGATGAGAACAAAAGCCATGCCGCTGTCGCGACGGGATGCCGTTGATCCGCCCTGGAAGGAGCCGAAGGATGCGACGGATGTCGACATGGACATTGACCTGGACGAGGAACGGCAGAGAAAACCTTGCTGAATCTGGGGCTGTGACAAAATCTGAAAAGGTTGGAGAGACTGTTACCGAGGAAATGGATAATCAATCACAAATTGGATAAGTTGCTAGACATGTTGCTACATTGCATTCAAGTTCTCCTGTACCTTTGTCAAATGCTCAAGACTCTCAGGAGCCGTCTTCGCCCTGCATAACATGGTTATCGGTCAGCCTGGCTTCCCTTTCACATGTGTGTTGGTTGGCCTTTCTTGAGAACGTTTTGTGTCTACTTTTCCCTGAATCTTGGTGAGTTCTAATGGACATGCGGAGTCCGGTTGGAGCACTTTCGATTCCCTTGGCCCTATGCCATACTGTCCATAGCTTCACCAAAAGTCCGGGACCCAATCACAAAAACCCTGCGGCCAGGCTCTCTTGTCAGCCCTTTTGCCCTTGTTGACGAATGCGCTACCACGTGACCAGAACGAGGCCGAACCGGTCGACCGTAGTTGGCATTGGTGCCAGGGATCAATATCAAGACATTGCTCGAAGCATCAATGCTTGATGTAAAAAG